TCATTGGTGTAAATGTAAAGCATTAATCTTCAGGTAGAAACCATGAACATGGACGCCTACAGCAGGCCTGTTATGATGCTATCGTGCATTTGGTGAATCAAACCGTATCCCTTCATGAATTCAATTTGTTATTCACGATCACTAGAATTGATTATTCATAAATATTTTAAAAGGAAATGCTTTTACTTGAATTTGTGTGTTATTCAACAAAGCCAGATATGCAATATAAAATATATCCTATACCATTTTATTCAATTTGACAGTAATATGGTCACTTCTCATTTTCATAATTAATTAACACTGTAAAAAATTATTTTGTTATTGTTTCACTGAATATTGTAAATAATACATCTACAATTTGTTATTGTATTCATTTAGCAATATTGGATTTGTTAGCCAATACTTGTGATTTGTATTATATTCAATTTATAGTGGATTTCTTGCACTCTAGGCTACAGCATGATCATAAAAAAAATAATTTCACTTAAATGCAGTACATTTCTTCTTCTTAAGAGGTCAAATATTTATTTAATAAGATAAGATATATTTCTTATAAAAAAACATTTGATTTTGGTAAAGAGGCAATTTTGAAGACAACATATTATCAGTTTACACAACATACATTTAGAATATATTTACAGAAGTGAAAGACTGACTGACTGAGTTTGGTTTTATGCAGCTTTTAGCAATATTCCAGCAATATCACGGCGGGGGACACCAGAAATGGGCTTCACTCATTGTACCCATGTGGGGATTCGAACCTGGGTCTTCGGCGTGACGAGCCAACGCTTTAACCACTAGACTACCCCACCGCCCCAGAAGTGAAAGAAAACCAAACATGCACACACATCTTTGTAAGATAAGTTTGTAAATTATTGTCTGAAATTGTAAACATGCTAATGTATACCACACATTGTGTTGATGTAATTATTTCTGATAAGATACAAGATATTTATTGCACGAATGTTCCACGTAGAAACAGTGACAATCTCCTACATAAACAAGATACATAATGAAACAGAGTAACAATACATATACTAATAGAAATGTATAATGGCCTAGTACAATCTAGATTTGTTTAAAGTTGTACATATGGTAGCAGATCATATCTATATTATTTTGTTCATTATTTGTAAACAGGAGGCTAAATATTTCTGTGGTGGTATGGCTTTGAAAGTAATTAATTTGAGAGGAAAGGGAGTTAAATAAGGAGTGTCTTACATCTAAATATTTACTACGGGACATGAAATAGTGTTCTTCATCCCTAAGGACTGATATGTATATGTATATGAATTTGTCAGTTTGCTAAAAATTATAACCTTATTACAGGAGGTTTCTGTACAGGAAACCCTCCACCAGCCTCCTGCACCAGCCTAGTCAGTTGTAGACAGGAAATACAGGTTGGGGTGCCAGGCAGCAAGTCTACTGGAGTCAGCCAGTCCGGTTGTGATTATGGTGGAACTATCAGTGTCAGAGTGAGACTTGTCAGGAATGATGGATTAGGATGAAGGCAGTCAGTCAGGCCCCTTGTCTCATCTTTCCTCACATCCCTGCAAGCTGTGTATAAGCCAAGTTCTTCACTACCCCAGGGGAACACAAGTGCCCCATCCCCCTGCTGTGTACAAGCCAAGTTCTTTACCACCCCAGGGGAACACTAGTGCCCCACCCCCCTGCTGTGTACAAGCCAAGTTCTTCACCACTCCTGGGGAACACTAGTGCCCCATCTCCCTGCTGTGCACAGGCCATTCTGCACCCCACCCCAGGGGAACAATAGTCCTCCATCCCCCTGCAGTGTACAGGCCATTCTGCACCCCACCCCAGGGGAACAATAGTCCTCCATCCCCCTGCAGTGTACAGGCCATTCTCCACCCCAGGGGAACAATAGCCCCCAACCCCCTGCAGTGTAAGGCCATGCTCACCCCAGGGGAACACTAGCCTCCCAACCCCTGCAGTGTAAAGCCATGCTCCACCCCTGGGGAACACTAGCCCCCAACCCCCTGCAGTGTAAAGCCATGCTCCACCCCTGGGGAACACTAGCCCCCAACCCCCTGCAGTGTACAAGCCATGCTCCCACTCCAGGGGAACACAAGCCCCCAACCCCCTGCAGTGTAAAGCCATGCTCAACCCCTGGGGAACACTAGCCCCCAACCCCCTGCAGTGTAAAGCCATGCTCAACCCCTGGGGAACACTAGCCCCCAACCCCTGCAGTGTAAAGCCATGCTCAACCCCTGGGGAACACTAGCCCCCAACCCCCTGCAGTGTAAAGCCATGCTCCACCCCTGGGGAACACTAGCCCCCCAACCCCTGCAGTGTAAAGCCATGCTCCACCCCAGGGGAACACAGCCCCCAACCCCCTGCAGTGTAAAGCCATGCTCAACCCCTGGGGAACACTAGCCCCCAACCCCCTGCAGTGTAAAGCCATGCTCCACCCCAGGGGAACACTAGCCCCCAACCCCTGCAGTGTAAAGCCATGCTCAACCCCTGGGGAACACTAGCCCCCAACCCCCTGCAGTGTAAAGCCATGCTCAACCCCTGGGGAACACTAGCCCCCAACCCCTGCAGTGTAAAGCCATGCTCCACCCCTGGGGAACACTAGCCCCCAACCCCTGCAGTGTAAAGCCATGCTCAACCCCTGGGGAACACTAGCCCCCAACCCCTGCAGTGTAAAGCCATGCTCAACCCCTGGGGAACACTAGCCCCCAACCCCCTGCAGTGTACAAGCCATGCTCCACTCCAGGGGAACACAAGCCCCCCAACCCCCTGCAGTGTAAAGCCATGCTCAACCCCTGGGGAACACTAGCCCCCAACCCCTGCAGTGTAAAAGCCATGCTCCACCCAGGGGGAACACAAGCCCCAACCCCCTGCAGTGTAAAGCCATGCTCCACCCCTGGGGAACACTAGCCTCCCAACCCCTGCAGTGTAAAGCCATGCTCAACCCCTGGGGAACACTAGCCCCCAACCCCCTGCAGTGTAAAGCCATGCTCCACCCCAGGGGAACACTAGCCTCCCAACCCCTGCAGTGTAAAGCCATGCTCCACCCCTGGGGAACACTAGCCCCCAACCCCTGCAGTGTAAAGCCATGCTCCACCAAAGGGGAACACTAGCCCCCAACCCCCTGCAGTGTAAAGCCATGCTCCACCCCTGGGGAACACTAGCCCCCCAACCCCCTGCAGTGTAAAGCCATGCTCCACCCCAGGGGAACACAAGCCCCATCCCCTGCTGTGTGTACAGGCCCTGCTCCAACCCAGGGGAACAACAGTCCCTGCTCCACCCCCAGGGGAACACAAGCCCCCAACCCCCTCCAGTGTAAAGCCATGCTCCACCCCAGGGGAACACTAGCCCCCCAACCCCCTGCAGTGTAAAGCCATGCTCCACCCCAGGGGAACACTAGCCTCCCAACCCCCTGCAGTGTAAAGCCATGCTCAACCCCTGGGGAACACTAGCCCCCAACCCCCTGCAGTGTAAAGCCATGCTCCACCCAGGGGAACACTAGCCTCCCAACCCCCTGCAGTGTAAAGCCATGCTCAACCCCTGGGGAACACTAGCCCCCAACCCCCTGCAGTGTAAAGCCATGCTCCACCAAAGGGGAACACTAGCCTCCCAACCCCCTGCAGTGTAAAGCCATGCTCCACCCCCTGGGGAACACTAGCCCCAACCCCTGCAGTGTAAAGCCATGCTCCACCCCAGGGGAACACAAGCCCCCATCCCCTGCTGTGTACAGGCCCTGCTCCAACCCCAGGGGAACAACAGTCCCTGCTCCACCCCAGGGGAACACTAGCCCCCAACCCCCTGCAGTGTAAAGCCATGCTCCACCCCAGGGGAACACTAGCCCCCCAACCCCCTGCAGTGTAAAGCCATGCTCAACCCAAGTCCACCCCTTGAGGTAAACCATGGCCCCCATTGCCTTGTTGAGAACATCAACAGAAAACATTTCTGAGCTGTCATACTTCTTGAGTGTTATAAGCAAAGACAACATGGCAGGTTTGTGGGCTATGTTATTGTAATTTATCAATCTCCTCTTTCTGAACATCTGTATGACAAGCATTTCTGCACATGCCACTGCTCTAAGCTAAGTATTACCTCTAATCTCTTGCACTGTACCACATGTATAATGCTCAAAGGGTGCTCAACACCACAGTGTATGTCCATTGTTCATATCAGTGGTGGAGCAGGAAACTATCATGTTGGATATCAATATAATACTTCTCATAATGTTCACATCAGCGGTTAGTCTGTCATACAGACCCTGAAGCAGCAGTTTTGATATCAGGATTTTGGTGTTCCCATCAGCGGTTTAGATATCAGGATTTGGGTGTTCACATCAGCGGTTTAGATATCAGGATTTGGGTGTTCACATCAGTGGTTTAGATATCAGGATTTGGGTGTTCACATCAGCGGTTTAGATATCAGGATTTGGGTGTTCACATCAGCAGTTTAGATATCAGGATTTGGGTGTTCCCATCAGTGGTTTAGATATCAGGATTTGGGTGTTCACATCAGCGGTTTAGATATCAGGATTTGGGTGTTCACATCAGCGGTTTAGATATCAGGATTTGGGTGTTCACATCAGCGGTTTAGATATCAGGATTTGGGTGTTCACATCAGCGGTTTAGATATCAGGATTTGGGTGTTCCCATCAGTGGTTTAGATATCAGGATTTGGGTGTTCCCATCACTGGCTCTAACATCAGATAGGTGTTCACATCCGGTATTTAGATATCAAGAGTTAGCAGTTCACATTAGTGACTCAGATAAACAATGAGTTTTTATATCAGTGACTCAGACATTATGTGGGTGTTCACATCTGTGGTATAGATATACAATGAGTGTTCACATCAGTGGCTCAGATATCAGAAGGTGGGTGTATTGCCCCTCTCACTGGCCATCTGTATTGGAGACACATATGGGATCTACTTTGAGGGCAGACATGATGCATACAATGAGAACATATACCAAACTTCAGCTGAGGAAAAACATTACATGAGAAGAAGCCACACTTACCTTGAGGACATACAGGACACATCCATTCCTATGCTGACACAACCTGTGTCGAGGACCAGCCTCCAGACGAGCCACCATCTTGTCCAGCACAGCCACCCCAGTCCTTGGCCTCTGAGGTTCCTCATTGTTGTTGGAACTGTGGCCTGGTGATGTGGCTGATTGGGGGCTCTCAGATGACCCTACGATGTACCTGAAGGTAACAGCTCAGTCTCAAGGTTGCAATGTAGAATTTACATGAAAAAAAAAAATGATGACAGATGGATTGTACTTTTTTTTCAATGAAACATTCTGAACTCCTGACAGAATGCTCAAGGATTCTCCAAGTCTTCACAAACATTATTACATCAACATGTCAACATGACTGACGTCAATGGGCGAACAAATAAAATACAAGAATCATACACTGTACATGAGATCAGTGCTCTTCAGGTGTCGGTGAGAAAGTGCCAAAAGTCAGATTGAGTGACAGTGTTACCTCCCCTTCATACATATTCACATCTGTCTTTCAGTTGCTGTTGGTGACATCATCAGACCAATGACACTGAGCAGCATCATGGACGGTTTTGCAGCTTCACAGTCCTCCTGTCTGTGATCACTTAGTGAGAGTAGTGCGGCTGTCAAAGTGTCACTCTGTCACAAAGTTTGATCAGATCTTTGTCCAACTGTAGGGTTACACAAACTAAGGTCTCTGGAGTGAATATCTCCAGATACACCATGTCTAGGGGTGGAATATCTGTGTAATGTCTACAGTAAATTTTGGCCAATTACAGTAAAAAAGTGCTCGAAACTCCAAAAAGCCGACTTAGGTGATTAATCTTATTGGAAAATATGAAAAAGTCTTCATGTGAAACAAGGGTCTTTTAAGGAGTGAGTGTGAAGGAGTGAGTGAGTGAGAAGCTGAGTGAGTGAGTAAGTACTTGCCCTATTAAACCTGTGAGGCAAGTGTGAGGTAATGCTGACGTATTCCGTCCCAGTAAACAGGGGAGACAATCATGATAACAGGGGAACTATTCAGTCCCAGTCACAAGAGAAGATAAGTGTGAGGTACTGGGGACCTATTTTTCCCTGGAAGCCAATGATGATCTCACTCTGAACAGACAAGTGTGAATTTTCATTACTTACTGACACTTTTATTCAAAGTTTTGTGCGACGCTAAGTTTTAAAAAGTTATCAATACCACTGTTTGCCAAAATGAAAGGATTCAGAATTTAATTTTCTCGAACTGATACCATGTAACATAAAGTTACAACTATTGAGTACCATTTCCTGAAAGGAAAAGATATTCCAGATCCACTGACATAATAAGAAATTTATTCCCTCATCAGTCTATTCTTCTGGATACTATTTCTTTTTCAAGTACACATTCCCAATGTGTTGCTGAGATGCAATTACAACACTTACTCAGATGCAAAAACGTTCCATTTATTGGGGTATTTTTGGCTTTTTCCGTCATCAAATTGTCAGGTCTTTTTTTTGTATTACAAACGGAGTACTTGATTAGGCCATTTCAGACGAGACCAAAATTAAATGTTTTTATCTGGTTGCTGGAATGTATAGAGATAAATGACTGAGCAATATTAATTCCATTTTCACGAGGTGAAACAGAAATTTCTTCAAATTGATTAGTGAGGAAACGAAGTGTAATGAATGGGTTTGAATTTCAACCAGGAAATAACCGGGATGATGGTATTGATGAGGCCCTGATTGTCACTTTAAATAAGCATTAAATTCGCCTCGGTGCCATCTTGCACAAAACACTGACACTAATATATTCATGCAATAGCACCATCTCCAATCTGCAAGATTAATCCTATATGACGCCACATGCAAACAGGGCCACTGACCCCGACCCTTCCCATCATGCACTATTCTGGTAATTCCGATAAAAAAAACCCAACACACAGTAATTTCCATCCTAACAGGTCAGCCTGCGAGCAGTCTCATTCCGATAGCAGCCCTTATCCTGATCCCAAAATACGCTGTGCGAGACCGCTGCTCACCACACAAGCAAGGTAATTACGGGGAACAAAAATTCAATGAATTTTAATCAGTTGAGTTGGTACATGCAAGTCAGATTGAAGCTTTAGGCCTTCCATAACAGAATTTACGTTTCTCATTTCAAGATATACCTCAAGACCAATCCTTCACAAGGGCTTCTTTATGGAACAACAGTGAAAGATTTGTCAAAATTGTATTTCGGAAACATACAATACCAAAACAGGTTCTGTTGAAATCAATCTAAGCAAACATCAGTAAACTCTGTTACTGTCAATCTGTTAAACATTACTCTCTGAACTAGATTAAAGTGCAGATGTATATGTCAAAGTTTTTCTATGTGGGTCATGTCAAGGTCATGTCAAGGTCACTAAGAATTACATCAAGGCTACTATCCATGTTGTGTCAAGGTGAAACTCACTTCCAAAAACATCACCCGTGTCCCTTAATCTAAGAATAAGAGGAATGTCACTTTCTATCAGGTCAAAGTCTACACCTATGAATTAAACCAAGGTCGCGATGAGTCAAGCCAAGGTCACTTAGACTTATAAGGTCACTCTGTGTCACATGATAATCACTATTAAAGATTCACAGCTCAGTGACTCCATTTATTCCTGTAATATCCATATAATTGAATCTAGATCACTGTCTGTGACGTGCCAAGGATGCTGTGGCACATGCTTCCAAGTCCACACAGATCAGATGTGGTACTTCAGTGTTAATTTTTTTAGTCTCTGTAAAACTTGTTGGTACGAGGGTTAGTGCTTCAAATTAGTGATAGCATGGAATCTCAATGCTGTGTTACAAAAAACTAATTTCTGCTTTTGACATTAGTTCGACTTTAAGTTAGCCAAAAGTGTTTTGTTGTTTGGAAAACACAAACAAAGAATAAAGCCCTTTTCAATTTTCAAGGTTATGAAATCTCTGCCAAGCAAAACTAAATTCTGCCAGTCCAGAATTTGATATCTTGCTTTTGGGAGTTTTGTGTGTGATGAATCCTGGTTGGTGTAAAAATGGAAATAGTTTGTTGTACCACACATGTTTTATGAACTATTCATCAAACTGGTCTTGTCCGTAAGAATAAGGTAAGATAAGATATTTATTGCTTAGCATTCCATGAAAGAACAGTGGCAATATTCTATAAACTACAAATATAAACACAGTAGGTACTTTTGCTGTTGAAATAGTGAAAGGACAATTATTTCAGTCAGCAGTTTGCAATTCAGGTAATTTGTCCACTTTTTGTCAGAGCAAATTTGAAAACAAACCTGTAATTACAAACCATCACCTGACAACACAAGTAATCAAACTGAGGCTACATTCATCACTTTGAGACATGTGAGGGTAGCTCTCTGTGAAGCAAATATGACACAGTCGAGCCTGATCATGTGCACGTGGGGCTACTCACTGGAGGCTGGAGATCGTGGACTGAGGCAGGCCTGACTCCCTTCTGCAAAAGAAACAAAGTCCTTTGAGTAATTCACTTCTTATTTGCATGCAGCTAAACCAGAAACAATGACCAATATTCCAAAAATGTATGAATAGCAATAGTTTTTACATGATCAATCTGCAGTTTGAGTGAGATTATGCATACAAAATGTCCACCGGGGATTGTGGAGATGATGTTGTTTGTGAAGGGGAATATGTCAAGGGATTACATCCAGCCAACGGATCAGAGTATCTACACTGAAGGTCAAACGCTGGAACTCATGTCGAAAGCTTGCTTGTACAATGCTAGATGTACAACTTGGTTACTCTGCAGTTAAATCATCAGGAACAATATGAGATTATAGTTTGTTTCATTTAAAGTTCTCATAGTGGACTAAAACACAGATAAATCATAAAAGTGGGATATTCTTAGGCTGATTTGATATGTCTGCGACATAAACTCTTTGAAATAAAACACAAAAATATGTCTGTGACTTAAATTAATTGAAATAAGACACAAGAATATGTCTGTGACAAATTTTCTATGAATAAAGACGATGTCAGACACATTAGAATATGCATCTTACTGGAGTTGTTTTACATCCAACATGCAAAACAGAGCTTTAACCCTATTTCTCTGTAAACTGAAAAATACTGACTCATGTCTTAAAACAATAATGCATTTGTTGAACATCTGAATAATACATGTGTATTGAGTAGAGTTGGGAATTGGATAAAATCTCATAATTGATGATTGGTTCATTACAACCGATCAATCATCGAAAATAATTGGTCAGCATCCTTTATCAAATTTTTCTGGTTATGTTTGTTACTGCACAAAAAAACAGAAAAAAAAAATGTAGTTCTTATGAGTCTTTTTGCAAATTCCACAAAATGCATGTGCAAATTTAACATCTTTAAAGGATGACTAGTATGTTAGGAACATAAATTTCCTGGAGTCTTTAAGATAAATTCAATCCTGACTTGGAACGAGCTTGTAATGTTTATGAAATGTAACAGACAAAACCAACCTTGTGAAAAATATTGTCAATGCAAACAAATGTTCCAGATTGTTTGTGTTCGATTATGAGAAAACATGATCGATTGCTTGGTCGTTTAGTCATTGCGACCAATCTTCAATTATTTCAATTAATCGGACCACCACTAGTATTGAGTAAGTCCAGTGTCATCACGGCCAGATGGCAGATTACTGGTTAGAGTTGTTCCCTAGCAACCAATGCTGGATCTGGTAGTCAGGCTCAGTGATTTGGTTGAATGTGGAACAAAGTACCCCAGGAAAAGTGAACATATCACTTAATATTGATCACTGGTTTGTCTGGTCCAGACTCAATTATTTACATGCCGCTGTTTTACAGGCAATACAGCTGGAATATTACTGTAGCATTTAACAACAAACAAACATGACAGCAAGATGAAGCAGACATCTATAATGCTTATTTTAATACTGAAGATCTGAGGCACCAATACATCATCTATACTAGTCCACACTGTAACATAATATACTACTCACAAAAAGTTAAGGAGTTGCTCATTTTTTTCATACAGCTTTAGCTATGGCATTAACTGTAGTAATAAGAAAGACTAAAGTGATTGCTCACCGCTTCCGAGTAGTTTCAGACACGGTATATGGAATACGGTATATGGAATACGGTATATGGAATACGGTATATGGAGTACGGTATATGGATTACGGTATATGGATTACGGTATATGGAATACGGTACATGGAATACGGTATATGGAATACGGTATATGGAGTACGGTATATGGATTGATTATTCACATGATGGATTAGGAGTCACAACACCAGTAAATGTCACCAACAAATGACAAAGTAATGATAATATCATTTCATGAGAGACATATTATTTGCCATAAACCAGAGACAATGATCTATTTGTTAAAAGTACAATGTTTTGATTGGTATATTACAGAAGAGGTTTTACAGGCAATACATCATCGAATGTAACAAGATGCATATTATACACACAGACAATTAATTTAGTTATCTTTCACACTAAAATATATAAAAGCCTCATCTTTGTGCGTCATCTTTCCGTCATGGAGAGGAGCATTGTGTTCAGTCACCAGTAACACCCGTCTGTCACCAGCAAGGAGGCTGGTCTCATTATTGTAAAAATACAACAAACCAATCAGAATGCAACTAAGTATTGCCGTACTTTCATTAAAATAATTAATTATATAAACATGTGAGGTGAGGTGAAATTGGGTTTAACGTCGTGCTTAAGAATATTTCACTCATATGACGACGTGCATGCGTGTGTATGTGGATGTGCGGCTGCTTGTACTAGCCCAGACTTAAGCTGGTTTTATAGTGCTAGCCCACTGAGATACCATGCCGCAGTGAAGCATGAATACCCCACTCTGACACATTATACTGACTCCGAGCCAACCAGTCCTTGTTGTACCCATAAATGCCGGGCGCCAGGCAGGGACCAATAAGTACCAAATTTTAACGTCTTTTGGTATGACGTGGCCAGGGATCGAACCCGCGACCTTCTGCACTCCGGGTGGACGCTCTAACCACTACACCATGGAGGCGGTCTTGTATAACATGTAATCATCACAATACGTATTATGTTGTCATGGCAACATTATGTATTTATACGAGAATCCAATTTTCATTTTTCTTCCCACACTTACTAAATACGTGAGTTTTGTCTACCAGCTGAAATACTTGAGGAACTTGTTCTTCCATATGCACACCACATGATCGATCAAAATACGACACAAACATAATTTACTTTACTTCAGGAAAATGGACGAGCCGACCCCCCTACAGGATGAGTTCATTACATCACGCTTTTTTATTCTTCCTTCATCACATAATAGTTCAGCTACAATACATGCTGCCATGTTTTCTCACATTAAAAACATGCAACCAATTTCCTCCATATAATTGTTTAGCTAAACTCGAAGTCATTACACCTCAATGCTGCCCCTATTTCTGAATTTACTTGTAGTTGATAAGTATTTCTGTTTTGTATGAACTACACCATTTTGTCTTCCATTCCTGAGGTATTAACCTGTATAGCTATTTGTACTGTAAACGTATTCAATGAATGAACGAATGCCATGTACTGCTCCGGACTGCACCAACACCACCTAGTTCCTATTGATTCAGTTCTGCATGATATAACATATACAACTACAACATTGGTAACATCACCATATCAAGTAAATCAACTTTCAACATTCATATATTCTTGTGGGATATTGCTCTCTCTATGTAATGTAACAAGTTTTGCAATCTGTCGCTAGGATGTTCTTTGTAATAAATATCCTATCTTAAATGTCCTCTTATTCAAATTATCAAAAGTTGCTCACATATGTTTTGCAAATGTTTTATTACTGTAAAAACCAACCCAAATATATTGATATGTTAGTGCTTGAAATTATGTTGTTACAGAGGGGATAGATATAAATAAGTAACTCGGGAAATGTGGTAGACGCTGTATATGACAGACATATTGTCGTGACATTTGGGAGAAAGATAGCTGGTCCTAAGTATTTCCTCAGTTTTTGTCATTCCCTAATTTAGCAACAGCTCTTCCAGCACTTGCACGATCAGATTGTTCAGAAGCAGCCCTGGCGCCAGATACAGTTATTTTCCCCCTGGTTTGATTGCCTCCTTAACCTCGGACAATATGGCCAAATGACAGCTTGTTGTCAGAACACTGAGGTGGACTGACAGTGTGTGATGTAGATATGTACAAGCAGCAATCAGCCACTAGCTAATTGTTATACGATAACACCAGCCCCATTGTCCCCAAACACCACAGGAGCTGTGCAATAACAGACCCCTAATCATTTAAGGATTGCCTGATTGGTCACTTTGTGTCCAGCCCTATTAATACACCCGCAGTGATTGGTCATTCAGTTTGCAGGAGGTCATGATGTCAAGGAATGATTGATGACCAATTGTGTTGAGGCAGCTGTGTATGAAGCTCCCCCTGGTGGAGGAACTGTGGGCTCCCTGTGGAATGCGTGGTGGTGTTGAGCAGACCCTCATCCATCTTGCTATACACCGCCTTGACAGTTTTGACAGCCCTGAGATTGAGACTCAGAGCCCAAAACATTTCTCAAGCCGGACTCTTTTCAAATGTAGATGAGGTTTAGGTAGTGTATAGTAGCCCTGCTGGTGTTTGATAGAGGCAAGCACCTTATCCATTTATCCTGACTGGGGTTGTATAGGAGCGCCCGGGCAAAGGGGCTGCTTCTATATAGGGTTGTAAGGGAACTTGGCCCACAGTGGGGATCCGTCAACCCCTACAACAGCACACTTCCATCATGAATACAGCGCTTAGTTAAAAACAACCACTACAATATACAGTGATAGATGAGAAGGCCTAGGATATGGGACAACACTGCAACATGAGGACAAGGACTGGCCTTCTTGTGCAAGATGAATTCATCCCCCCCTCAATCTACCTTTCAGGCATATTTTCTAGATTTAATCCTTCACTTGGGGCTCAATACAAAAATTCAATTTCAATTCACTTTTTTGTATAAAACTACCATGCTGGGTAATTCCCAACGCACAAAGTGGAATGAAAAATCTTTCCCATAACACTTTCATACAATGAATGAATATAGGCTAGAGATTTAAAAAGTATTAATTTTGAATTTCTTTGTTTCATTTTCTACGAAATTGTGATGGAAATGATTTAATTTTTTTATAAAACAATACTTAAATTAAACAATTTGAGACATAAAAATGTTTTTCTTAATTATTTTTTTTATGCCAAAAATGAATACATTGATTTTTCTGTCCCACACATCGACACAGTAGTACGTGGTTTGACCTTTCGTATACAGAACAGATGGCAAAATATATTTTCACCTGAACAAATGAAAAATCACTTTTGTTGTGAATCATTATTTGAGTGTTGATAAATGTCCAAACTTGAAAGCATCAAAGGGCTTTGAGGCAATTCTAGAGACGGCAACCTGCGAAGGCTCTTTGAAGCTGATGTGCAG